GAGGAGGAGGAGGAGGAGGAGAGGAGGAGGAGGAGGACGTGTGCGTCTTTCTCGCCGCCGACCTCTGATACCGTGCCCGGGGGGGCGAGCGGCGCGCCCGCCCGGGCGTCCGCCGCGCGGTCGGCCATGCGGGAGGGCCCGGCGCGCGCGCGCGCGCGAGCGGAGGCTCGAGGCGGACAGCGGCCGCCGCAGCCGGCACGGCCCCCTGCGGAGGGAGAGGAGAGACCGAGGGAGGGAGCGGGGAAGAGGGAGCGAGGGAGAGGGAGGGCAGGGCGGAGGGAGCAAGGGAGAGGGAGCGAGGGAGAGGGAGCGAGGGAGCGAGAGAGGGAGGGCAGGGCGGAGGGAGCGAGGGAGAGGACGGGGCGGGGGGAGCGGAGGAGGCCGAGGAGGAGATCGAGGCCAAGGGGAAGCGGGGTAGGGGCGGGGGAGCCATGGGGCGCGAGGGAGGAAAGAAATGTAGGTGGAAGGAGGAGGAGGAAGAGGAGGAGGAGGAAGAGGAAGAGGAAGGGAAGAGGAAGAGGAGGAGGGGAGGAGGAGGAGGAAGAGGAGGAGGAAGAGGAGGAGGAGGAGGTGGAGGAGAAGGTGGTGGAAGGAGGAGGAGGAGGAAGAGGAAGAGGAAGAGGAAGAGGAAGAGGAGGAGGGGGAGGAGGAGGAGGAAGAGGAGGAGGAAGAGGAGGAGGAGGAGGTGGAGGAGAAGGTGGTGGAAGGAGGAGGAGGAGGAGGAGGAGGAAGAGGAAGAGGGGGGGATGAGGGGGACAAGCAGGAGAAGGAGGAAGAGGAGGAAGAGGAAACACACTAAGAGGAGCAGCAGCAAAACGAGGACGACGAGGAAAAGGGACGAGGAGCAGCAGCAACAGCAGCAGGAGGAATCATCGTGTGCAGTCGATGCATGGCGCGCCGCGGATCCACCTGTTCCGAAGACCGCTGAAGCGAGTGCCGCCACGGCTGCCTCGAATGAACGAGAGAAATGTATTACTGGACCACGTGTCCTTCCCCCTTCTTCAGGAGTTGCGTAACGCCGAGGGGGTTGAGGGAGATCTGGCAAACAGAGGGAGGGGGTCCAGGACCTACGACGTTTCGATTTAATCGACCTCCTTTCGATGATCCTCATAACGCGCGTTAGCGCGAACGTGTGCTTCCCCACCGAAGCCCTGAAATCCAGCGCAGGCGTCGTAATGAGATCCGACAGCGGTTGTGTGTACCGGCTCGGTAGACAAGTACTCGGGATCCATGGGATGTTGCGTAGAACCGAGAACCCGTTGCATAGGTGAGAAACCACTCCGAGTCTGGCAAGGGTTCCGGACAGAGCAACACAACTCCCCAACAGCGAACCATTCGGATGGTTTATCGGGAGCTACGTTATGAACGGCTAAACGGCCGTTCCAATATTTTTCAGCAACTTCCGGTCGACCGTTTCACCATGGAGAACGAGCACCGCGGGAAATCGTCACGCGCTGTTGTTTTGTATGTTTTCGGCGAACGTTCCCTGAAACTCGATTCCAGGATCTGCAACGACACCCTCTGGCATGCCAAACGCGCGTGCCTATGTGCGCACACATGCTTGCCATATTACCTCTGATGACTTCCCCGCCCCCACATGTCCAGCCAACTGACATACGTGCCCCAACATGTGATGTTGATCCAAAAATGCGGCGCATCACCACCTGTACGCAGTAACATGATTGAATCGATAAGACTTGGAATCAGCAGCAGGGCGGCGAGCGCAGGGTCGTTCGTGCGCGCCACACTCGTCGCACTTACATATGTCCCATACCCAGCGTGCCATTTCAAGCTGGGAACTACCCCGTCTCAGAGTCGAACAAATCTCGAATCCCAGGATGACTGGAATTGCCGTTGGCAAGCTTGAGATCGGATAGCTGTTCTGCAGCGGGCGCCCAATCGCGCCGGGCGGGCACTTCATTATCACTGTCAGGTTCGGCGCCAGGGCCATCAACAATAATCCCCCCAGGCACGTCTTCTCCAGGAGCCGCTTCCACAGGAAGACTGAGACGAGCCTTGTTCACTGAGAGCGCCTGCTTGATCTGTTTTATCTGTTGACAGGAAATCGCGCCAATGCGCCCTCATCGAGCTCCGAAGATGAAGCAAAAGCTCCACTGGCGGTCCGCCACGAAATCAATCGCCGCGCCCCCTAGCAAGACTCGACCGCTTCTACCGAGTCCAGCAGCGTGGCGGGCTGCCGCGATGCACCTGGAATGGGTGGGAGTCTGCGCGCCGGCCCTGGCAACCGGGGCGGCAATCGCGATCCACCCGGGGCACCTCTAAGCAAAACCACGCGCTTGCCGGACACTGGGCCAGCCAGGCTCACGCCGGTAGCGCCCGGAGAGAGAAGTTGCCCAACCTGACTGAGACTGACGTCCCGAAGGCGCATTCTCGCTGGCAAGGCGCCAGTGGACATCGCGCCAGCAGCAGCTCGGCGGCGAGAGAAAGCACGGCCACTCCACAGTTTGGCTACGGCGCGATCGCGAGAGGAACCAGACCAAGCATCCTGACCAATGAGTATACATCCTCTGTCGTCTCGGCAGGGGTTGAGAGCCCGTCGCGGGGCTCGCGATGCTTTCGGACACGCGCCCCGCGACCGTTGAAGACAGGTTCTGCTCGCGAGTCTATCAGATGTCGGCCCCCTCCACGATCGCCTCGAAACCGCCCCCGACCTTGGCGCGATCGCGCAACTCGCGTTCCGCCGCGCACGTTGCCAGACGCGCGAGTTCTTGATGCGTCGCCAGTTCGCCTGACTCGCGAGCCCCCGCGCACCGCTCGCAGTCTGGAAGTCCTTCTCAGAGACCTCCTTCAAGGCGCAGCCCGGACGCATCCCGAACGCCACCCGCGCCCAGTGGCCCGGCCTGCCCGCGCCGACGAAGCCCTCGACGGGGGGCCTCGTCCAGCGCATCTAGCAATCGTCGCGCGCCCACCAGAGGGTCTCGCTGTTGCCCCGACGGCGAGGCGGCCTCCTCGGGGCGCCTGCACGCGGCCTGATCGGCCCCCGCGGCGCCCGCCCCGTCGCGCCCCGGCCTCTTGCCCGCCGCGAACCGCTCCCCACTGGAGATCTTCAGGACACGAGTGAAAGGCCCCCGGCCCCGGAACTGAGGCGCGGATGGCGCGGCCTCGTCGCCCGGAGCCCCGGCGCCCCGAGCAAGTTCCCGTAGGTGCCCGCGCCGATGCGCGCCTCCGCGCGGCGCTTCATGGCCGCGCGGCCCAGGATGGAAGAGTGGCTTCACGCGAAGTTGTTTCCTTCCCACGTCCGCGTCTCTGGAGCCACCAGGAACTGGCTGGACCCGCTGGCTCTCGACGGCCCCGGCCGCGGCCCCTTGTCGGCGAGGGCGCGCCCCGCGAAATTCAACGTCGCACGAGGCGCCAGGGGAAGCGGCAGCTGGCTGAGAAAGACTGATTTGAGCCGAGGGCGCCTGCGGATTCACATAAAAAGCGGCATCCTCAGGCCCGACGACCTGGCAATGTCCCTGAGTCTGTGGAGGGACAACTTCGACGTTCTGCTTTCTCTGCCAACCATCGTCGGGAAGATCGAAAATATGGGCCACGATGCGTCTGCCTGCCCCTACCTCGCGCGCCCTCGATTGACCCCCGTCGAGTGGCTCCCAAATGATAACGCCGCCAGGCAGGTCCAGAGCCGCGCCGAGCTGCCCGAGCATCTCCACTGGCAGGAGCAAAAGAAGATCGCGGGCAATCAGATGCACCGCGAGCACCTCAATTCTTTGCCACGGCAACAAGCAGGGTCCAACAAATAGAGAAACTCGGTAGATCCTCCGACGCCCATGGCGCCCATTCCAAGAGCGGGTTTCTGCGCTGGCCTCAAGCCGCAAGTGTTTCCTGGATATCCCACCGTTTTCTCAGCTGATCTTCGCAGCAGACTCCATGCTGAGCTCCAGCATTCACTCGGCCGAAACCCACGTGGATCAGAGGTCACCTGAGAAGATGTTCGACTGCGCCAGCAGCTGCGAAGACAAGAAAGTAAAATTGTCCCGGCAAAGCAACCTAAAAGCGATGTGTAGGAGCATATCTGGAAGCATTCCCCTTAAGATTCAGATGAGAATCCAGTGGTAGAATTATGCTGTTCTCGCAGTCGTAGTAGCATTCGCGATGACAGTCGCAGTGGCAACGGCAGTCACAGTCGCAGCCTCAGCCTCAGCCTGCCTCAGCCTCAGCCTCAGCCTGCCTCAGCCTCAGCCTGCCTCAGCCTCAGCCTCAGCCTGCTTCAGCCTCAGCCTCAGTCTGCCTTCAGCCTCGGCCTCAGCCTCAGCCTGCCTCAGCCTCAGCCTGCATCAGCCTCAGCCTCAGCCTCAGCCTGCCTCAGCATCAGCCTGCCTCAGCCTCAGCCTCAGCCTCAGCCTCAGCCTCAGCCTGCTTCAGCCTCAGCCTCAGTCTGCCTTCAGCCTCGGCCTCAGCCTCAGCCTGCCTCAGCCTCAGCCTGCCTCACCTCAGCATCAGCCTGCCTCAGCATTCAAAATGTGGCCCGGGAATGGAGTTCTGGGAACTCGAAGAACACGAAGTGGCCTACAGTTGGCTCCGGGCATTCAAAATCATGCCCAGGAATGGAGTTCTGGGACCTCGAAGACCACGAACTGGCCTACAGTTGGCTCCGGGCATCCAAAATGTGGCCCGGGCATGAAGTTCTGGGAATTCGAAGAGCACGAAGTGGCCTACAATTGGCTCCGGGCATCCAAAATGTGGCCCAGGAATGGAGTTCTGGGAGGTCGAAGAGCACGAAGTGTGTGACTGCTGGTTCCGGTTATTCAAAATGTGGCCCGGGAATTGAGTTCTGGGAGGTCGAAGAGCACGAAGTGTGTGACTGTTGGCTGAAGACGAGCCCGGTTCTGTTCATGGTTCTCCTGCCCGGCACTCGCCCAGACCCCCCTGAGGAGTCCAGCTGCTCTCTTTTGACCCTACTAGAAACCTATCAGCAAACGCTGTTAGGTAATAACGAATTCCACGCTGGATCGCACGTCCCCGTTGACGAACGCCATGCAGAGCGTCATCTGCCTCGAGAAGAACAGCCTGGAAACCGCCGGAGCTCGCCTGCCGCTAGCGCGCTCGATCGCCCGGCTCGCTCGCGCAGCCCAGCGCCGCATCTCCCCGAGCCAGACGCGCTTCGAGC